GCCCGTTAGTAAGTACCCGTTACGGTGCCGTTGAAAGAAGAGGGCGGCCTCGGAACCGGAGGGAGGAAGGAGGTCCGGCCGCCGAGCAGCGACTGTCGGGGGCGGCCAGGCGGGGGGCGTGCAAGAGCGGAGGGGCGCGAGTCATGGCCGGCGGCATGTGCGCGGCCCAGGGGGGGGGGTCAGGGATTTAATGTTGAGTCGGGCGTGTACCCCTACAGGGGGATTTTCGACGGAAAATAAAAAATACCCAAACAATAATAAAAAAAACAAAAATAGTCTGGGAACTATTTTTTAAAGTATGTTTTGACCTTTTTAGGGCATTTTAGGGGTACTTTCCATTTAAATCCTCCTGTGGGGGGACACGCCCGACATAAAGATAAGAAGAGCCGCCGTGAAATCTGGGGAGATGTCATGGCCCACGCCACGATATCCAACCCCCCTACAGTCAAAAACCCCAATGAGGACGCGCGGTAAGGACACAAGACCCTTGGAAGCCGAAGTTGGGATTTCTGGGGCGGCGGACGACGAAAAGAAAACCCCAAGGACGCAAGAGCAAGGAAGAGCAAGGACGCAAGGGTACCCTGAGCAAAGTCGCGCGTCCTTATTAGGGTTCTTGACTGTAGTCATCACCCCCCTCTCTTCGCCGCCCCCGAGACGGAGGCGGGCGCGCGCAGGCGGCCCCCGGCGCCGGAAGGCTGAGCCGTGCCACGCGCAGGCCCCAAAGCACCAACCCGGAAGACCGAGCATCGTTTCTGAAGGGGCCCCAGGACACACAAATAAATGCACACAAATAAACAGATTCCCCATATTTTCCCATGTTTTGGGGGTTCTTGTCTTCCCCCCCACTTCCCATAGTTTCCTATATTTTCTGGGGAAGCGACGATTAATTGTGTCTGTGTGTTTTTTCCCCTCCTGAGTTTCACCGATCCCCATCTCCACTCGTGGCCTGGGCCCCACTGGCCGGTTTGCCCCAGCAGATGGGGATATAGGCAGCTTCTGTCAGACTTCGAAGGGCAGATCCTCAACCGGGGGATGCGACGGTGGGGGGCTGGACGGGGATGGGGATGGGCATGGGGATCGGTGAAACGATAATGATGAACACCGAGCGTCGGTGCAGTTATGCGGTTTGCCCTCTCGCGTTCAAAGCGATGATATCTTCGTATTCTGCGGGAGGCAAGGCCCATTGGAAGCAGTGCAGAGCAATGCGTTGTCTCGCCCACGCGCCAGGTGGCGTATGGCTTCGTGACTGAACACCGAGCCCAACCCACACCGACGACCCCAACAAAACCCTAACACTGCCGCCAGATTCCCTTATGGCTCTTTCCCGCGCGCCGGAGCGCGCTCGGTCCCGGCCACTTCGCCGCCACAGGAGGGGTAAAGGGGGGTCCCCCTCTTCGCTGGCGAAGAGGGGGCGAGGAGGGGGGACTTTTCCGCTGGGCCGCCGCCAGCCAAACTCCAGAGCGCAAGGAATTCGGTTGGCGGCGGCGCACTGAAACAATCCCTCCCCCCGTCCTCGCGCTCTGGGCGGGCGGGGGCGGGCGCAAAAGCAGCCTTCCTCGAAGGGGGGACGGGAGGGGGTCCACGGGCAACCCCCTGCATTTTAACTGCAGAAGGACCCACTGACGCTCTCTTCTGATTGAAGGCCTGCCTTTTTCGCCAATACCTCCTGGATAGGCCCACGAGGTCCTCGAGAGCCCCTGAAGGGGCCCGAGAGTGCCCCAAAAAGACCCCCGAGTGCCTCCGAAAGCGCCCCCAAAAAGCCCCACGATGGCTCCAAGAAGCGATGGCCGTTCTGGTCGACTCCTGGTTGCGACAATCTCAGGAGGCAAACGTGAGGGCCTTCGAGGCGCCCCCACGGGAGGCCCTTCAGCTTCCTGCTGGAAACTGTTGCTTCGGCGGGCGAAATGGCAGCCATGGCACGCGCACTGCCACGCCCTCTTCCTCGCCCTCCCCCGGGTGGAGAAGGAGGAGGAGGAGGAGGAGGAAGAGGAGGAGGAAGAGGAGGAGGACGCAGCGAACGACGATGATTCGGGACGCACTGCGTGAAACCCGAGTGACGATGGTGGTCGCCGCCCCGGACGCCTCACAGCTCCGAGCCCCCCTCTCTGCCCTGCAGCCGGCCCCGGAGCTGCGCGGCGACCTTCGCCACGGCCTCTTCGAGCGCTGGTAGCTGGTCGCCGTATCTTGAAACCAGCGCCAGCGCCTCCCGTCGCCTGTCCCCGGTCAGGAACTCCCTGATCGAGCCCTGCATCCTCCGCACAGTCAGCTCGTTGAGGTGCTGGGGGATCACGAGGGTGCCGTCCTCGAAACCTGCCGCTAGCAGCAGCGTCGCCAGCAGCGTCATGCTCTCTGGAGCGCCGCTGCTGTCTAGGCCCTCTGCTCCGAGGATGTCCAAATACTTCCGCAGGCCGTGCCTCTCGAGGCGCCTGGCGAGGCACCCCAGGTACGCCTGCTCGGCCTGGACGTACTTGACTCCGCTCGTAAAGGCCCGGTTAACCATGATAGGGGACCGCATGCGAACCCTACCCCTACCCCCCCACGATTTCTGAGGGGGAGGGTCGGGTTCACTTCGTGCGGGAGCTCCCCAGCGAAGTGAACCCCACCCTCCCCCTCAGAAATCGTGGGGTGGGGGTAGGGGTAGGGTTCGCACGCGGCCCCCTGCATGAAAAAGTACGCCCCGGGGTCTTGCCTCAGGGCGTCGCGGACAGCCTCGTGCACCTCGCCGCTCTCGGCGTCCCACGTGCCGTCGAAGATCTTGTTCGACTCCAGCCCCGCGGTCGGCTCCCTCAGGTGACTGCACCGCGACGCCTCGCCCAGCGCCCGGAAGAGCCTCTCCAGCGCCGGCCCGGGCGGCAGGACGGCCCGCACCCCGCGGAGGCCGCCGTCGCCCGCGGGGTCGGCGCCGCCCGCCCGTCGCTGCCCCTGCGCCCGCAGCAGCAGCCACAGCGCGGCGCCCGCGCCCGCGCGGCGCCCGCGCCCGGGCGCGCGCCCGGCGGGGCCCATGGATGGAGGCCTGGCCGCTGCGCGCTTCGGAGCCCGGCGCGCCGGAGGCGGCCCCCCGACGCTGCGCCGAGGGTCCAGGCGGTGTCCGCCGGGTCCACCCTGGAACCCGGAGGAGGTGCGCGCGCGCGCGGAGAAGGCACGTCCTCGGGGCGCGCGCGCGCGCCCTCTCTGTGCCACTGCGTGCTCCTGCGCTGGCCTGATCGAAGCAGCCTGCCCCCCGAAGCGCTGCTGGACGGGCCGGCGGGGATAGGCGACACGTCAAGGTTGTGGAGCCCCCGGCGGTCGGGCGTGCGAGCACCGAGAGGTCCGATGCCTGCAGGGCCCGCTGCAGCAGCGAGCTGCCTGGGGCAGGCCCAGACCCCAACGCGTGTTGTCAGGGCGGGCGGGCCTGCACGGACGAGCTGCAGTGCAGTCCTGGGCACGAGAAGTCGAGAAAGTGTTACTCTGCCTGCTACGCTAGGGGACCAAATGCGAACCCTACCCCTACCCCCCACGATTTCTGAGGGGGAGGGCGGAGTTCACTCCGCTCGGGAGCTCCCGAGCGGAGTGAACCCCGCCCTCCCCCTCAGAAGTCGTGGGGGGTAGGGGGAGGGTTCGCACGTGGCCACCTAGTGTAGTCCTGGGCCTGAGGAGTCGAGAAAGTGTTACCCTGCCTACTGCGCGCCCGTGCTTCCAGCGCAGCCTCCTGGAGTGGTTGAGCATCCTTCCATCCCCAAAACTGGAGGGGTCGTTCTCAGCACGACCGCCGTCGTCATGAACGGCGTTCCTCCGTGCGCCCTACCCGTGGCAGTACATTATTATCCTTTCCTTATCATCCTCCTGATCCTCCTCCGTATTATCATCATCGTATCTCTGTACTCTCGCCCCATCGATTGCTTTCATGAAAAGATGCGCGTACTCTCCAAGCCAGGATGGGGAAGACAATTGAGGTGACACAACCCGCTTGCCTGTACAGGCACATTGCTGGCTGAAACACGCAACCACCCTCGACAGCAGACACAACTGAACAGCAACGTCGGCACTTCCATTCAGAGAAAGATCAGCCCGCGGAGCGGTCGAGACGGACTTCGACCCATGACAGGCGACTGCGTGCTGGACGTGCGCCGAGCAGCAAAACCAGCGTCTTGAAGATACTCACAGAGCCGCTGACCGGAGCAGCCACGGCAGACCACTCTGGAAGGCACCCGTCGCAGCGCGAAACGCGCCGACCGAGCTGCGGCGAAGATCGGCCGACCGGCAGGCCTCGAGGCGTGACGCGCGCTCGGGAGGCGCGGAGGCTGGCTGAGTGTCTCGCCGTGCCGCGATCGGAGTGCTGTCATTCGATCGCTGGCGCTAGCGCACGCACTGCGGCCAGTCCTCTTGCCTCGCCCCCGGCGGTCAGTCACGCAGCGATGTGCTGGGGCTCGACGGCCACGCCCGATCGGCACGTCTTCGTATGCTTTGGATACGAGGGGGAGCTGCGGAAGGAGCTCACAAGATCGCCACGTAGCCGAGCACCTAGCGCGACCAGGCGATGGGCATCGGCCAGCACAGCCCTGCGTAGCCGAGCGGCGTGATCTTGACACGGGGAGGCACACCCCAATGTTGACGCACATGCGCATGTTTTTGTGGCGCCGTCGCAGTTGGAAAGGACACGCGGACCTGGAGCTCGGGTGACCATCCTCGTCACCACCTATGTCGTCGCCACGGCCATCCCCACTTTCGCCAGCGTGAAACCAACATTCTCCTCCTCCTCCTCCTCCTCCTCCTCCTCCTCCTCCTCCTCCTCCTCCCCCTCGGCCTGCCCCCCACTTCGTCATACCCCATCTGGCCTCCGCCTGCTTGCCTTCCTGCCCACCTGTCTGCCCACGGGCCCAACACACGAGCCCTTCGTGCCGCGCCGCGTTCGGCCTGTGACGACGACGACGACGAAGCCGCGACGAAGCCGCGACGACGGTGACGACGACGACGGCGACTGTGACCAGCCCATCCTCCTCATCCTCTGCTGGCTCCATGGCCTGCGTGTGCCGGCGGGAGAAGTCCTCGTCCGCAAACGTACCTTGGGCTCCCGCCGCTCTGAGGAGCGCCCGTCTTAATCTTATGTAAGATCTGTCTGTCTCGCTTTCCTGTCGCTCTCTCTTTCTCTCTCTCTCTCTCTATCTCTCTCTCTCTCTCTTCCCATCCCCTTCCCCTTTCCCCCCGCCGCCTTTTGCTTCAATCCGCCCCCCCATCCCCCATCCCCCCCCCTCCGTACAATCTCGCCGTTCCTCGTTCATCCTGCCACCCTCCTGTCTATCCGTCCTTCCCTCTGCCTACCTCTCCATCCCTCTCTTCCCCTCTTTTACCACTCTGGTTGACCTCAGGCATGCACGTAGCCTTAATACAGAGACAAGGGCGGTGAAATCACATGGTAGTTGATGCCATTTGTCGCAGCACGGGCTTCCTCCTGCCTCTACGGGCAAACCCACTCCGTCTGGTGAATCTGCACGATCACTGTTCCGCTTACCACTGTTGCCACTCTGCAGAATCTCGGGCATGCACGTAATTAGTAATTTGGAAATGCAAAGACCAAGGCTGTGACATCACAAGATAGATCATGTATGTTGTCGGAGCACGGGCAAAATGATGCAACACCAACGGTACGGAAGACGCACTTACATCGGGCTTCCAAGAGCCCGATCTCTGAAGAATCCTAACCCATCTTCTTCAAATTTGTCACGAGAGTCAAACAAGGCCAAACATAGCAGGCGGGACATAGCCAGTTAGGGACACCTCCCTCTTCCCCCTCCCGCCCCTCCCTTCCTCATCTATCATCTCCATCCCCCCTCCCGTTCTTCCTCTCCCGTACTCATGATTGAACAAGGGAGCAAGCGCACGGGGAGCATGCATTCTCAGCCCGGGTGCCCCCATATATGCTCTCGCCGCCGTCGCCATTGTTGAACTGGAAGTCCCCGGACTGCAGGTAGGAGCCCTTCACAGAGCGGAAGATGCTGCAGCCCTCGTAACACAGCTTCTTCTTCGTGGTGCGGCCCTGCCCGAACTCGCCGGTGCACAGCGCCCGAAAGTTCTCCGCAGTGCGCGGCGTGACCTGCTGCTGCTGTGCCTCCTCATCGTCGGCGTCCTCATCCGCCTGCCCTCCTCTTCTGTCCTCCCTCCTTCTCCTCCTCCTCCTCCTCCTCCTGCTCCGTCCTCCTCCGTTCCTTCGGGCTCGGCTGGAACTGCTAGACTTTCACCCCTCCTCCTCCTCCTCCTCCTGCTCCTCATCCTTCTCCTCCTCCTCGCAACTCCTCATTCCTCATTCTCCTCCTCCGGCGCGACATCCGAGAATAACTCGATGACCACGCGGCCCCCAGTCCGGTTGCCAATGGAGATGTCCAGATAGACCCGGACATTCCTCAGATCTCGCCCCACCCACAGCACAGGGGGGAACAGGGGCGAGGCGAGCGAAGCGGACGCGAGTGGAGGAAGACAAATAGAACAGGGAAGAAGGTAGGCAATGGATGACGGAGACAAGGGAGAGGGAGGAAAAGAGGCAAGGAGGCTAGGAGGAGGACAAATGGAGAAGGGGCAAGTCGTGGCATGATTACATGTTCCACCACCACCACCACCCTACCATCATCACCACCACCACCACCACCATCATGATCATCATCAGCAGCAGCAGCAGCAGCATCAGCATCAGCATCAGCATCAGCATCATCATCAGCATCATCATCATCATCATCATCATCATCATCATCATCATCATCATCATCATCATCATCATCATCATCATGAGCAAGACCAACACCACAATCACAAGCAACATCATCATTATCACCACCATCGTCACCATCGGAATGACCATCGCAATCGGCATCGCCGTCATCATCATCTTACTCCTACCCTTACTCCTTATTGGTATATCTGCTCTCTTTGCCACAAAAAACTGGCCGATAGGAACCGGATCTGGGACGTCCTATCCGACCTGTTTAAAACAAACATGCAATATCTCTGTGTTCGCCTCAATATGAACATGATGACGTCAATGTTGCTGAATGCGTGGCATGACTAGGACGCGGCGCACCTCCCAGACGAAAGGCCGAAATGATGTTCTCGCCTTGGCGCCGGGCTCATCTTTCTAGAGAGCTGAGTTCCCGCTTGGGTGCGGCCCACATTTTTCGCACGCGACTTCGTCAAAGCGCGAGCGGACGAAAATGTCATTCTCGCGTCGGCGCCGCGCAGATTTCGTCTGACGGTGGCGCCCCCGCATCGATGCGACACCTATTCTTCACTCGTCAATTCTGGGAGGCCCGCGCGAATGGACGACTTGTCGCCCTCTGCCAAGCTCCGTGCACGTCTCGATCGGAAGTGGCGTTCCAGCTTGGGCGCGGCGCATGGCTCTTTCGCCGAACCGCACGAAAGCGGCAGCAGCAGCGGGGCCACGCGAGAGCGGGAGAAATGCCGACCGCCAGGCGTTTGTGATTGAAGGCGGGCAGTGCTGTGTCAGCGCGGCGCATGCTTCGTCTTCGCCTCGCCCACCGGAGGAAGTGCCGCTCCCGCCCCTGCGCGGCCCGTTGAATCTTCTATTCGCCAGGTCGTCAAACAGGGGGCGCTCGCGAGCGCCTTTCGCTTGCGAGGTGGGAGCACGCTCCAATCCTAAATTCAAGTTGTGCCACACTTGATTCGTATGTTGTGCGAGGGAGGGTGAGAATCGGCGGGGCCACTCTGACTCGCTCGACGTGGCAAACTGGATTCCGAATTTGTCTTGCTCCTCTTCCTCCTCCTCCTCCTCCTCCTCCTCCTCCTCCTCCTCGTCCTCCTCCTCCTCGTCCTCCCCTCCTTCTCCTCCTCCTCCTCCTCCTCCTCCTCCGCATCCGCCTCCTCCTCCTCCTCCTTCTCCTCCTCCTCCTCCTCCACCTCCTCCTCTTCCTCTTGCTCCTCCTGCTCTTCCTCCGCCTCCTCCTCCTCCTCCTCCTCTTCCTCCCCTTACCCCTCCCCCTCCTGCTCCTCCTCCTGCTGTTCCTCCTTCTCCTCTGTTTGGCCCTCGGACCCATGCCTCAGAGAAAAAACGCTGTACGTGGCAGACAACCCTTGACACAACTGTCTGACACGGAAGAGATCATTAGGCGGAAATGTTGAGGCTGTAATGCACCTCCACAGTGACGCCCTTCTATCAGGATGCCTTTCAGACGAGATCTTCTTCCAATGCTTGCTCCCCGTGACGGTGGAGGGCTTACAGTCCGAACCCAAACCTTTTTATCTGAGCTCCTGAACTGTAGAACTTGCAACGCACACAAACCAAAAGGAGGCGTTGTCGGAGCATGCAATAGCGATCACCTCATGACCAAAGCGATCGGGAACAACATAATCCACGCGGCTGTGTCTTGCGCAGCCCGCCTGACTGGGCCTCTCAAGTGCGAGCGACTCACGAAGACCGACGCGACAGCGCCACACTCTCGACAGGAACTCCCATCGGCGCTGCTGCCACTCCTCGACTGGAGAAGGAGGAGGAACCCGCTCAACTCCAAGAAACTCCGCCCGAGGCCAGAAAGGGAGGGCGGCAGCACCGACAGCAAGCATTGCTTTTGAAATAACCCCCCCACACTCCAGCTCATCCACTACCTGGGGGTCAAACCTGGGCTGCCGCAAGACCGCTCTCTTAGCGCCCGCGTCGGCGAGATCATTTCTTCTCACTGAAAGCCGCTCCTCCTTGGGTCTTGGTGGGCATCGACCTTCGCGAGCGATGCGAGACGTCCATCGCCGAAAGCCAACCCTTGCAGGAGGAGCCCGCTGTAAACATGTTTGGGGGACTTGCACGAATCACGGCCTTGAGAACAATGGGCAACAACATTATTACAACCACTGTGCGCTGCAGCCTTGCCACGCAACACCATGCCCATACTGCAGAAACCTGAGAAATCAGCAGACTGCGCCGTCTGGTGGTGTGGTAGCCACACTGGTGCTGAGGTTTCACAAAGCGCCTTAACATGCTCATTGGTCATGACAACGCACCAGCGCTACGCGGAAGCTCAGCCACAGGATGTCGATGGCACGAACCATCAACAGAAAGAGAGCCCCAGACCCCAAGATCAGGAGAGGTGACAGTCGGCTCGGAGCTTCCAGGACAAACAATCTCTGGAACCTGCCATGTGACCAAGACTTCCCCAGTGTTGTCTGGCTTCGGAAAGCAGTCCCCTGGGTGACGAAAAGCACCATGCATCCAAAGAGTCCATGCGTATCCTTCGTCATCAACTCTCAGGGCGGCTACTTTAATCCGCCGACCCCAGAAACGCGCGAAGTAAAGGGGCGGGACTCCCTACCGCGCCCCCCGCCACGTCTGACCCCAGCCGCCTCGACCTCCTGGGCGCGGTGTCTCAGGGCACCCTCACCTTGCAAAAACTCGCGGCGGCGCCCGCCACCGCGTTCGACACCCCCAACCACTTCGACCTCCCGGGCGCGGTGTTTTAAGACCCCCCACCCTGCAAAAACTCGCGCGGTGTTTTAGGGCCCCCCCCACCCTGAATAAACTCGCGCCGGCGCCCCCCGCCGCGTCTGACGCCCCCGGCCACGTCGACCTCCCGGGCGCGGTGTTCTAAGCAAAACCTCGCGCTGGCGCCCCCCGCCGCGTCTGACACCCCCAGCCACCTCGACCTTCTGGGCGCAATGTTTCAGGGCCCCCCACCCTGCAGAAACTCGCGCTGGCACCGCACCCCCCCGCCGCGTCTGATACCCCCATCCACCTCGACCTCCCGGGCGCGGTGTTTCAAGGCCCCCCCCATGTAAAAACTCGCGCCGGCCCCCCCCGCCGCCTCTGACGCCACCAGTCCTGGGCGCGGTGCTGTACGGCCCCCCCACCCTGCAAAAACTTGCCCTGGCTCCCCCGCCGCGCCCGACGCCCCCAGCCACCTCAATCTCCCGGGCGCAGTGATTTAGGGCCCCCCCGCCTTGCTAAAACTCGCGCCAGCCCGCCCGCCCGCTGCGTCTGACGCCCCCAACCACCTCAACCTCCTGGGCGCGGCATTTTAGGGCCCGCCCACTCTGCAAAAACTCGCGCCGGCGCCCCCCGCCTTGTCTGGCGCCCCCAGCCACCTCGACCTCCCGGGCGCGGCGTCTTAGGGCCCGCGACCCTGCCAAAACTCGTGCCGGCACCCCCCGCCTTGTCTGACGCCCCCCGCCACCTCGATCTCCCGGGCGCGGTGTTAAGACCCCCCACCCCGCGAAAACTCGCGCCGGCGCCCCCCGCCGCGTCCGACGCCCCCAGCCAGCTCGAACTGCTGGGCGCGGCGCTTTATGGGCCCACCCTGCACAAACTCGCGCGGGCGCCCCCCGCCGCGCCTGACGCCCCCGGCCACCTCGACCTCCTGGGCGCGGCGTTTTATGGCCCCCCACTCTGCGGAAACTTGCGCCGGCACCCCCCGCCGCATCCGGCGCCCCCAGCCACCTCGACCTCCCGGGCGCGGCGTCTTAGGGCCCCCCCCCCACAGGCCCGCAAAAACTCGCGCCAGCACCCTCCGCCGCGTCCAACATCCCCAGCCACCTCGACCTCCAGGGCGCGGTGTCTAAGGCCCCCCCCCCACCCACCCACCCACCCTGCAAAAACTTGCGCTGGCCCACCCCGCCGCGTCTGCCACAGCCGCCTCGACCTCCTGGGTGCGGTGTTCCAAGACCACCTTTTCACACTGCAAAAACTCGCGCCGGCACCCCCCCGCCGCGTCTGACACCGCCGCCCGCCTCGACCTCCTGGGCGCGGTGCTTCAAGGCCCCCGCACCCTGCAAAAACTCGCGCTGGCGCGCCCCCGCCGCGTCTGAGACCCCCGGCCACCTCGACCTCCTGGGCACGGTGTTTTACGCCCACCCCCCCCCCCCCGCCCTGCAAAAACTCGCGCCGGCGCCCCCCGCCTTGTCTGACGCCCCCAGCCACCTCGACCTCCTGGGCGCGGTGTTTAAAGGCAGATGCGACGATGATCGCAGCGATGCTGGTGACGGCGTTGACAACGACGACGGCGCGGCCAGCGCAGGCGCCGGCGCTGATCGCGCCGACGCTCCCGGGCGCGGCGTTTAGGGCCCCCCCGCAGGCCCGCAAAAAATAGCGCCTGCACCCCCCGCCGCGCCCGACACCCCCAGCCACCTCGACCTCCTGGCGCGGTGTCTCAAGGCCCCCTCACCCTGCTAAAACTCGCGCCGGCGCCGCCCGCTGCGTCCGACGCCCCCAGCCACCTCGACCTCCTGGACGCGGCGTTTCAGGGGCCCCTCCGACCCTGCAAAAAAAAGCGTCGGCACCCCCCGCCGCGGCTGACGCCCCTAACCACCTCGACCACCCGGGCGCGGTGCTCCAGGGCCCCCCGCCCCGCAGAAACTCGCGCCAGCGCCCCCCGCGGCACCCCCAGCCACCCCGACCTGGTGGGCGCTGCG